TACATCTCCCATAATGCATGACGATTACTTTACGGGTAAGGTGGAGGTGCACAGGTTTTAAAAGCAGCCAGCAAAATTTGCCAAGTGAAATCTCTCTTTCTTTTATTTATTTATTTTTTTGCTGGCTACTTTTGCTGCAGCCCGTTTGGACTGTGAAATAGGAATTTCCCGCTTACAAGTCGGAAATTTAAACTGGAACGCCCACTCCAGTGGGAACTCTCTGTCGGAAAGTGGGAGAGTTCAGAAATCAAGATGGCAGCGACTCACCACAACTCAACAGTGAGTAAAACTCACACTTTAACTTCTAATAACTTCTGTGGTATTTATTTCCCATTTAGTCAGTCGTATATGAAGTACTTTTCAGTGTTTATGAGGGGACATGTTAAAACGCTGATTCTATGCAGGAAATACCAGGCAGAGCTCAGTTATTTTTTGTTAGCGGTGCTCAGCAGTAGCAATGACGCTTTGTGTTTAGTTGAAGTTAAACACGAAATGTCAAAGTTCATTAGTGAAAATGAGTTTGCCAGATTTAGACGGTTATTTGAGGAACTTTTAGACACTTTGATATTTTTATTGACAATGTAACCGTTACCAGATTCTTGAAGTGCTTATATTTTTCTTTACCATATTTTTTCTGAATCTAGACCTGGAAAATACCCAAATCCGATTCCCTAGTTTTCCACACTGTGTGGGAACCTTACAGTTTGTAGTGGTAGTAAACCTGTTCACGTCTCTGTAAAACGACACTCAGAGCACAAACGTGCACTGAAGCCGTAAACAGTGAGGCCCCACCTGAACGATCTCCAGCATCTCGGCCCGGCTGATGTAACCGTTCCCGTCCAGGTCGTACATGCTGAAGGCCCAGCGCAGCTTCTGCTCCAGCCCGCCGCGCGACGTCACGCTCAGCGCTATGATGAACTCCCTGAAGTCGATGGTGGCGTCGCCGTTCGTGTCGAACGTGCGGAAGACATGCTCGGCGAACTTGGAGGCGTCGCCGTAGGGGAAGAAGTTGGCGTAGATCTTCTTGAACTCCTCCACGGTCAGGTGGCCGCTGGGGCAGTCCTTCAGGAAGCCGCGGTACCACTCCTGCAGCTCGTGGTCGGAGAACTCCGTGTTCTCCCGCAGGTCGTTCAGGACCTCCGGCCGCAGCTTGCTGTTCTGCTTCCCCATGGCTGGGCTGCTGCCTCGACCTCCTCTGCTCACTTCCCCACTCTCCACGCCAAAGGCTGCTGGGCTTCCTGCGCCCCTGCAGGGGAACAACACTCATTAATACCCTCGTGTGAATTCCATCAATGATTCATGGGTTCATTTTCCCCTTGCAGTTTTTAGCAACATTTCATTGCAACATGCTGAAGATTCTTCTCAAATTTTCAACGCGAGGGAAAAAATCTGGATCGATGAGTCGTTCATGGACTGTAAAAGACAAAGATATCAGCTCTGATGTCATTGGGACATTATGACTGTGTCTGTGTGTCAGCAGGGTTCTTACTGTTTAAAGAAAGTTCAATTTAAGACTTTTTAATGCCAACTGAAATTAAATTCAAGACTAATTTCATAATAAACACAAAAATGACAAAAACTAAATAAATAAAACTGTAGCAGAAACTCAAGAATCAAAGTATTTTTGGTTGAAGTATTCAAATATTGAAATAGACCAATTGTTTTTATCCAGATCTCACTGCTTTTTTATCAAATATAGCAAAAACATTCTTAGCGGTCAGTTTAATGACCCAAAATTTGGAGTTTTAGGACCCACAGTGGGGTCTTAACCCCAATTTTCTGTAGATAAAACCTTAAGTGAATGTGACATCAATGTCTGTAAGAACAGTTAATGTGTTTTTGAAATGACAACATTATTAACATTTTACAAAATAAATTTCACGTTGCTCAGATGAACAGTTGTTGAGATATTTGTATGTGAAGTAACAGGAAGTGATGTCAAAGCAGAATGTCTGCATGTAAATATTAAAAAAATAAATGCACGTTGCTGAGATGAACAGTTGTTGAGATATTTGTATGTGAAGTAACAGGAAGTGATGTCAAAGCAGAATGTCTGCATGTAAATATTAAAAAAATAAATGTTACCTATTATTTTAATATTTGAGACGAATCATCCTGTTAACAATGTTTTAAATTTTTAAGGCTTCTGAAAGACTGATTTAAGACATTTTAAGGTTAATTAAGGCCTTATTTTTGGATTGATGAATTCAATGCCGTTTAAGGCTTTTTAAGGATCTGCAGGAACCCTGGTAAGGTGATGGTGGGGTACCCTTGTCTCTGTGGATACAGTTATTACCCCTCCGGCTCAGTGATAATTCAACAAGCCTGCCCTGCGTGGCAAAGGGACATGTACCCTGGGGCCTCGTAATTCTTAATAAAGCAACTTTCCAAAAGGTCAGGCTGATGCAGACTGCTGTTACTGGGAGGGACAGACGTTCACCTCCAAATTAATCTGCTGCTTCACAGGGAAGATCGCTTCCCCTAATTCAATTTAAGCAGGTGGATTTTGTTTACAGAACAAAAAAGGAGCTAAAAAAAAACGTTTGGCCACCTGGGCCTATTCACCTTTGGTTTGCCTAAATTGTGTTCCCATGGTTTCGGTGTGTTCTGCAAACTCGGGTTTATTCATATATGCAGGGGTATTCGCACGAGACGCACAAACACAGCCCATCCTGAGGAGAATATTAGTATTAAACGGGACACCTTGTGCATGATGAAACAAACAGTAATGAGTTTTGGCAAGTGGAAAGGTCATGAAATCTAAAGAGGAACAGCTGCAGAAGTAATATTTACTGAGGAAAAAAAATCGAATCAACAAGGACTGGGTTATGAATCAATACTGGGGAGTTCATCTTTAAAATAACCTTGAATGTTTTAAGTTTCAACCCATTTAACTCTTATTTTATCCATGGCGCACTACCATAGTTAACATGTTTCTGTGTGGGACTGTATGAGAGAGAGTGATATTTTGAAAACAGCAAATATTATTTCAGTTAAAAATGTAGAACAAAAGCTGGATCAAACCTGAGCTAATCTTTTACTTGGATCTGGGAAAGTGTGAGTGGGATGGATATAAAAAAAAAGATGTGTGGGTACTGAGGGAAGAAGGAGGAATGGAAAACGTATGACACACAGAAGAAAAACTATTTCCAGCCTTACAGTATGAGTCCCTTTGCTAATACCAGAGGTTGGATTAGATAATAATCCTTTCTGAATAACACCTCCACTCCTCTGCAGCCTTTAATGAATTTATAGGAGCGAAGGATGAAACGAATCCCATCATTCCTCTCTTATTGGCAGCAGATTGATTCTTTACAGCCAAGAACTAGAAACTGAGTTTGAATAATGACGACCTCGTCTCTTTTATTTATCCCACAGGGATCATTTCCTGCACTTTTATAGATGAAAGTCACCTTTTTTTATTTAAAGGAAACCTGTCATTGGACAACAACAAAGTGCAGTATAAATTATTACAAACCTGCAGCTGACGTCCCAAATAGGGGTGTAAGAAAATATCGATACACTGAAATATCGCGATATTTCATTTCCCGATACTGTATCTATATTCTAAAGCCCTGTATCGATTTTTAATAAAGGTTTAAAATGTCAACTTTCCTGCCAGCCGTTCATTTTTATGTTGTAGTTCAGCCTCTGACCACTAGTTGGCAGCAGTGAGCCAGCCA